CCCAGGAGATTCATTTCCCCTCCCTATGCCAGGGAACAACAAACCAAAATCCAGTTATGTCTGCATAACTGTTAGGAAGAAAATCTATTTGGGTTGCAAACAAGGGAACAGCCTGTAGGGAACCAAAGGATGCAAGTGACTTTCTCACCCAGAAATGACACCCTTTGAGACATTAATAGCTGAACTTTAATAGCTGTTTACCAACTTCATCTTGAGCTGGTTAATGTAAACCCTGCAGACATGCACTGGCAGGCACAGATACATATACAGTGTGTTAAAATGCACACAGAAACAAGAGCAGCAAAGAGGCAGGGAAACAGGGATGTGTTGGCACCGCTTCTGCAGAGCAGCACGCTTCCAAACTCTCCCAGGACTCACCAGCCCTCTGATGTCAGGCTGAGGCTCCGCTGTTAAAGGGGCAATGTTAACTCAGGCCTCCCGCTTGTGTCTGGGACATCTTCGACCCCTCTAGCAATGTGCAGCCCCTACAAAAGCTAGGAGTGAAGGGGACTGGAGGAAAGAGGAGAGAGTTTGCTCCTTTTTCCATTTCTTGCCTTTGTGCTTTGGGGGCTGACAGCTCCTTGGCTTTCTGCACAGCTGCTTTAGCCTCCTCACTTGCTTGTGTGGGTCTCTGGTTCTACACTAGGGAAGAAATAGTACCTAGGAGATTAATTTGAGTAAAATAGAAAAATATGAGTGGAAAAGCACTAAAAAAAATAGTAAAAAGGCTCTGGGCAAAGGAAAGATCTGGGTCTGTCATTATTTTTATCTCTGGAAAGTTTTAACAGCTCATCACTGTACAAACACCACTCTCACTCATGCTAACACACCCAGGCAAGCTGATCAAACTAATTAATATCTAAGCAATGTGTCAAATGTAAGACTTTATTTTTGCAGGCAAGTGTGCTCTTGTCTGAGCCCTGAATACACTGTGATCTATTTTTTCCCTGTCTATTCTGCTGGGTGGGTCCTTCATACCCTCATTTTTCCATCACGACAACCTTCTATAGCTTTTTGGAACTGGTCCTCTAATTCAGGAGCAACTTTAATTCTGAAGTAACATTTCCTTTGCTGCCAAGGACACTGGAAGTTGCTGATGCCTCTTTCAAGCTAAAATTCGGAGGGTCAACGTCTGTATTCACGCTGTGAGGTTGGTCTGGGAGACACGCAACGGCAACACAAGCTCCATGTGTTTGCTACCCGTGTTGCTGGGTATAGCATGGGCTTAAAGTGTTCACACTGGCCCTATAGGGGCCAGGGAGTGTAAGAGAAGATGAACGCTGTACCGGGAGCCTTTGGGACTGATTTGCCTGCTAGACTGTACATGGGGTTGCTCTGGGACCATGCCCGTCATGCAGAAGGGCTTTAGAGATGGAAGACCCTTGCTGCATCTCTTCTCTCCCTCTGACCTCTCTGGTGTCCGGCTTGTTTAGACCTCCCTTTCAGGAGAGGGTGTACATGGCTCTGCAGGTTGAGATGGCCGAGCGCACATCGGTCGGGGCAAAACCAGGGATAGATCCCTAGGCCTGCGCTCTCCCTTCTTGTCCACACTCACCTCCTCTAGTGCGGAGGGAACCAGGATCTGGCGCTCTGTGAGGACCCAGGAGGAGCCTGAAGTCCATGCTGCAGCCGCCCCTCCAACAAGCACTACCTACACAGCTCCCAAATCATTGCCTCCTGGCAGGCTTGGAAAGTCAATGTTTTGCAGCAATGGCTGCCCATCTGTCACAGAGTTGCTCCTGCTCCAGGGCTAGATTAACCCTGGTTAGGCTCTGTATGCTGGCAAGAAGTTAGTTTTCTGCGGACTTGCTTGGCTCCTGGGTTTGAGTCCACCTGGCATGGAGAGAATCGGTGCCCTCTGGCTCTGCAGGTGTAATTGCTGCCATATCACAGTCACTGCATTAAAGTAGAAGGATGCCCTCATGCACTGCCTGGTGCATGAAATGGCTTGAGGTGGTGGAGTCAAAAAGGCCTATCTGCTCTGAAATGGCGTGTGAAGAAAGCAGGGATGACTCACTCCTGTGCATGAGCTGCACACTCGTATCCTGAGGGGTTTCCTTGCCCCAGCGCATGTATCCATGTGCCAGCCTCCCAAACACTTTGCTTCGTGGAAGCGCAGCTCCCTGCAAGCTCATGATGGCCGGCTCGGACATTGAAGTCCTCTCTGACCACATCTGGCCTGAATCAGTGTGGGCTCCTAAAGAAGGTTTAGAGGCAGTGGCTGATTGGCTGCAATCTCACTTTTGCTGTCCCCAAGTGCCTAAAACTCTCTACAACCACATGCATCCCCATTTCCTCATGCAGCCATTTGCATGCAAACCCCAGCCCCAGCGCATGCAATGTCCCACACCGCTACTGTGCAGCCCACCTGCCCAAAACAGCCCTGGAGAAGGAGTTTGTCCATCTGGGCAATTGTGACGCCTCCCTTGGTTATGGCAGCACAGCCCCAGCACTCTGTGCCCCGGGGCTGCTGTGGGTCTGGGGTGCCATGCAGAGCGCTCTCCATCCATCCAGCAGCTGTACAGGCTTTGCGCTCCAGCTCTTTCCTGGCCGCGTAGATCCTGTGCTGCAGCATCTGCTTGTGGGGGAGATGGAAAGGGACCTGCAAAGGGAAGACGGAGAATGTGTTTTGGTTGCAGTGCCTTCTCCAGAGCTATTCCCACCTATTCGAGGTGAGGGACTGCTATGGTGCACCCCAGAAATACTGTTAGAAATGCCCCTACCTGCAAGCCATTCTCAAAACCAGGCTCAACCTCTGAGACAACCCAGAGAGCAGGGCTTCTCTCTAACACTGCACTAGGAACCATACTTCGATCAGTTCTTGGCACGCAGTGATGGGCTTGCACTGCGCTCTGCAGGCGAGCATTACTGTGGTCTGGATGCCCTTGAATGGAGAGCCCTCCCCATCACCCCCTGCCTTGCTGTTAAATCAAATGAAGTCTATTGCAAATTGAAAGAGCTTGGTCTAAGAGATGGTCTTTGTGGGAAAGGACCCCAAACTACAAGGACTTTACAAATCAAAGCAAAACTAGAATGAAAGGAGACTTGCAAACAGCTTTATGTTGGCTTATGCTCAAAGAACAGGGTATAGTGAGCAGTTTGGGGGAGGATAGCTTGTTTTATCCTCACTCCTGTCCTCACTTCTTATAATAAAAGATACACATTATCAGAAAATTCTGCAGGCAAAAGTGATCTGGAGGGCAAAACTCATGTTGGAACAGGGATGCTGGGCTCACCGTTCACTGCCTTGGCATTAGTGGGTACTCGAGTGATAGGAAATAGCAAACTGATGGGATAGTTTGTCACATTGTCCCCAAGAAATCTGAGGACACAGGGCTGCCAGGAGCTGCTAGGCCAAACTTGTGGCAGAACTGAGCCAGGCCTGGCCACTCACATTGCCATTTGAATTGTCTGCTCACAGTAAGGGAAAAAAAGTCATTGAGAGGAGGATGTAGCGCTGACCAGCTAGGATACCAGACAGGGTTCACCTTGACTCTGACCTGGTACGCTTTTATATATTCTTTTCCTAAAACATACAGCTTATGAACAGCTATGTCAGTAATGCCAGGGATGTTGAGTCTTGTCCCTGCCTTGCTAGAGGACTTGTGTACATGTTATCTGAGGCCTCACCACCAATAACAGAAGCGGGCATGCTGAATCTTTAACCAGCAGTGTTTTCTTCCCATGTGTTGATGGGACAACTGGGTTAAACTGTGACAAACCAGCAGATGGATTTGGACCTGCTTTCTTACAGATCGCTCCCGTCCTTGAAGAGATCATCCCTGGAGCTGGACTGCTCTAGCGTCCCCGTGACATGCACCGAGGAATGAACCCAGTAGTGCTGTCTGAGGCTTTTCTTTAACGCTGGAGCCAGATTTGCCTCTTAGAAATAACACCTTTAAACTCATTGGAGTTAGAGAGGGATAAAACTGCTATGAGAGTTAATCTGGTCCCGCAGGAATAAAACAGTGTCATGAATCCACAGCTGGAGTAAGTGATCATACATTGACCATTGGTGCCCTGCAAGAGACCGTGATCCTGCTGTCCCCCAGGTCAGGCCAGCACCGCCCAGTGCCATAGCTCCTCTCGGACCCTGTATTGGGCCCGTTGCCATAGGTGCACTGCTTCTTGGCCTGACATGTGCATCAGGGATGAAAGTCTTGGAAGATCCTGCTCCCTGACAGAGTTGCGGCATCTCCCTGGCTCCCTTCCACCCTAGGTGCTGGAGGAAAGCCTGGCTTCATGGCACCTGAGTTCTGCTCCCAGCATCTCTCCTGCGTCTCCCAGGGCACCGAGCTCTGCTCCTAGCAGCTCTCCTCTAGCTCCAAGGGGCTCCTGGAGCCCCCTCGTGGGGCTTGTTGATAGGGTCCCATGAAGCCATCCGTGCGGAGCCGTCAGTGGGGTCCTCAGCCCTCCACTGTGGGGTTTTGCTGCGGCTCCGTGCTGAGGAGGCAGCAGTGCTCACCTCAGGGGTGTTACTGGGAGACAGGGTGCAGAGGTGGCAATGGAGACACCTAGGAGCTTGAGCAGGGCACACAGTCCCTTTGCAC